TATCTGTCTAACCAAAATTGCATTTACAATGATATGATGAACAATGAGAACCAAGTAACTCTTCATATTTATAAAGCTTATTTTCTGGCACAGTTGTGTAAACGCTGTATTACATTGAATCAGCTCTCATGTTGATAAGTGTGGACCCTTTTATGTTCAGCTATACTGTTTGTTTAAATGGTTAATAGTAGTTTCAAGTAGAAAAACAAGTGCTCCCTGTAAATGTTTGATTAACCTGTTGCATAACCCCTGAGCCGACGTCTGCATGTCTTCACTTGGTCTTAGTGAGGGTCCGTCTCCATGGAGACGTTGTTCACCCATAAGGCAAAAAGTAGCCTCAGTGACTCTGAAGCCTGAGTTCGTAGCTGCTCAACTGTAAAAAAAAAAAACCACAGACAACACAAGAGTGTGACCTGGAGTGTGTGTTTGCTGAAGAATGACTGACTGAGGGTAAGTTTTTTTGTCATCCCATGCAGAACTCTGCATGGAAAAAACACAAAAGCCGTGGGACTTAGTCTCTCGTTCCCATGACTCCTAAGAAACCTCAGCAGTGGCTTCAAGTGGTCGGACATGCAGGTTTGTTGTCATTTATGTTGCTCTTCTGCCAGTCTTATTGTGATAAAACAAAAAAAAATTCACCGAGTAAGTACTGGAACAAATACCATGTCTTGTGTGCTTTCTTTTTGTTGCTTGTCTCACACAGGGAGCTTTCATGTAGGTGATTACGGCACACTGCTGAAGAGGTACTGTAAGGGGGAGCAACAATGTTACCTCCGTCTGATGGCGGACACTCTGAGATCCTTTGTTCCTGCCTACCATGGTGTTGTGCAGCGTGACAAGCAGGATTACAACATGATGGATAACCTGCTGACCCACTTTAACACACCTGCAATCATGGACTGCAAGATGGGCAGCCGGTAAGTTTTTGAATGAAACAATGCAAGGTCAAAGGTGGAGACACAGTCAAATAGTAACTTGATATACTTACATATGTCAGACTTTGGTTTTCATTATTTCGAGTTAGCATATTATTTTAGTCATATTATTGTTGTTCCTATTGGAAAGGAATGTGTTTACCTGCTTTGCATTGAATACAAGCGATATGCCCAAATAACAATAAAGATGATGAGGCACTGTCCTTCACAGCACATACCTCGAGGAGGAGCTGCAAATGGCCAGAGAACGTCCCCAGCCTCGTAACGACATGTATAAGAAGATGGTGGCTGTGGACCCAGAGGCCCCTACATCCCAGGAGACAGCCCAGCAGGCGGTGTTGAAAACCCGGTACATGCAGTGGAGGGAGACGCTGAGCTCCACAACAACTCTTGGGTTCCGCATCGAAGGATTCAGGGTAAGAGCCAGGTCACTGATTCATCCTTTTAAATATGTGTGGAGTGTACTGCTGCAATGCATAGTCTTTAAAAATGTACCAATGAACATGTATTTTGAAGATAAGATAAGAGAAGTGCTAAATTCTCTTGGACATCACAGTATTTGCAGCATAGAAACAATATCAAATACATTCATCCATCACACATTTATCTGCATAGATAACAATTTACATTAAGGGCAATATAAAACAGTATCCACATATTTCAGCCTTGGTGGAGTTAATGTCACTCTCC